CGTCCATCGTGTACATCGACGAACAGAGACAGTAACCGACGACAGCGCGTAGAATCCAAGAAAGACAACAAGAAACACGGTTGCACGTGGAGGAGGGGTTGCAAGGGGGTGTAACGAGAGCGTGTTCGATAAAGAGGGAAAGGAAGAGAGCGCGAGGAGGACGAACGAGGGAAATGCACGCGAGAGGAAAAGAGGAGGAGAAAAGAGCGAGCTGACGCGATGAACGAGAGGGTTGAAAGAGGACAGGAGCCAGGGTGAAAGAGGGTGGGAGAGAACCTCTGCTGGCAACGGGTCGATCGAAAGCGCAGCGCAGAGAAATGCACCACCTCTGCTCTGGTCTGGCAGCTTTGCTGGCACACCACCACGTTCCTCTTGGTTGAACAGAGACAGAGGGATGCAGAAAGAGAGGGACAACCGAGCGACCAATACCAAAGCAGGGAGAGAACGAGCCAAGCCGACTCGCGTTGGGCTAGGTCAGGTCTACCCGAGTTTCGCACACTGGTCTGCGTGTGCCATCCAAAGCGAACCACCGAAGGCGGAGACCACCCTCGAGGAAAAGGGTTGAAACGCGAAATCGTGGTACGGTGTGCCGGTGGTGGTTGATTTTTTATCCCACGCTGAATTTTGTTTAAAAAATACAGGGAGAATCGATCGAGTTGCGATCGCTGCACCTTCGTTTCTCATTCGACGGCGTGCTTATTTGGACTATGTCAGAGAGGAAAGGGTGAAAACCAGTAGAATGTTGTCGCGAAGAAAAAGAGGGTGCTCCGACGAAAGAAGGTGAAGTGCGTCGAAGTGGTGTGTTCGAGAAGGAGTACCAGTGCTTCCTCGCGAAGTTTTTTTTATTCTGGCGTTGATCAAAACAGAGGAGAAAAAAGGGGTGGTAGCGTCGCTCGCCAGGCTACGCGATATAGTTGTTGATAAACAACGAAGAGAAGGGAGAGAGTGTCAGCGGTTTGATTCGGTTCGGGTGCAACGGCAGCGCAGATAGCAATTTCCTTTTCTCCGATGTCCTGATAATCGATAAGCGTGGGTTATAGGTGGCAGAGGACCGCCTAGGGCCGGCAGCGATCGGCCTTATCGACGTCCAAATTTCCCCTCCTGCCTAACGGACACTTTCAAATAAATGTTGAGAAACGACGACGATTTTCATCCCTCAACGCGAGGCCAACCGTGGCTCCCGGGTGCACGCAGGCTCGTCGGGATGCCGATCTCCCTGCGGAATCACAGGATCACGTAAAACGCTGCCGGCGAACCAGCCGCTTTTTTCGAATATCCTCTTCTAGGATCGCCGAACGGAAGCTAAGACTGCGAACCGGTGCTCTACGATTTCGATGCACCAAAAGGCGTGAGTAACTGCATCATAACGATCCGCGAGAAAGAAAGAGAAAACGAAAGCTGACTCGGTAGTTTGTTCGCTTTGAAATATCGACCGTGTGGGTCCTCCGTTTTCGAGGATATTTTGTTCGTTGCATATTTCTTTTTCTCTACCTTTTTTTCCAATATCATATTTCTGATATACTTCCCGATTTCAAAGATTTTCAAAGTTCATCTTCCTTTTAGCTGAAGTATCAATTCCCGAAATTGGGAAAAATTGAACGTTCTGTCGATTCTTCGATCTTTGAGAGGACCTGTCAGCGACATTTTTCATTTTCCATATTCACCCTGATAGGGTCGTTCCTCGGATAAACTCTTTTTAAAATTGGTTTACTATAAAATAAATAAATAAATGTCACAACTCGTAAATGTGTAGAAATAAATTTTTATCCTTCAATAAATTTTTGTAATATCATTTTTCTATTATGTGACAGTTTTTCGTTAACAGATTTGCGTGTTTTATTTGAAGGGTCTTAATATACGTTTTTAGATTTGGGACACGATCGTCGTTCAAAGATTAAAGAGTCCTTCAGAATGCTTTAATCTAGCGTTCTGAGATTTTAAAGGGTTCAAAACTTTCTAGTAATCATTATTTATACCTTTCGAACCGAAACCGAATTTTATAAAATAATTAAAATGTTGCTTTCCGGATTGAAATCATGATAATGACTATTTCTTAATACTTAACTTTCAATAATCAATAAGAGATTCCTTTCTTATTATGTAACCAATTCATTCAAATAATTCATCCACAAAAGAATGAACGAATTCAACATTCTTATTGATAGATTCACTCATCATGCCAATAATAATAAATCATTTAAATTTTACAACGTGTCGTAATTGATTTTAACAAAAATTGAAGGGTGTCAGAAAGGGAGTCTGCTTAAACGCGTTACGCTTTTAAAAATTTAATAAGTAAGATTCAAGGAACGTATTGAAAACGATCGATAGGGAGAGAGGAATGGCGACGAAAAAAAATGCTAAAAATGCAAATGAAGAGGGGGTTGAAAATCAAAAAGTTACGTGAAAAGTGAACTAGCAGAAAGCAGGTAGCGTGCGCGATTTCCACGGAAATGGAAATTCAACGAGTAGCGAAAACCCCTGGTGGCAGGGTGGGTGGACGATGTGGGAGAGGGTGGTGTGCGGGAGGGTTGGACTTCAGAGTTTATGCCCTGTCCCCCTCCCTCTCCACCCCTGCAGTCGATCAATGCGTGGACGGGTTTCACTTTCGCGGTGTTAAAGTGTTGCACCATCGTTGATCGTGGAACAAGGAGGAATCATGATTTTTGCGTATCGCAATCACAAGGGATGAACCCTCTTGTTATACGGCATACTCAATATTGACACGATTTTTTAGACTACTCTGAAAAATATAAAATCGATCTTCGACAAATTACATAAATCTTTTTATTCTCGAAAACACATTTTTTAAATTACATCATTTTTTTTAGTATTGACACTTGATCAAATTAGAAAATTTCTTCTTATTTTTTTAATGGAATTCTTTAAATGGCATCACTTCTTATATTATTTTCATTTTTGTTTCGAAGCTCGGATTTCAACCCCATATGTTCGATTCCGATTTTTGTTAGATTTCAAGACTGGCTTTTAATGTACTTTTGAATGATTTTATTATAACCGAATTTTAGTAACAAATATGGAAAAAGTTGACCTCCGAGAAATAAAAAGAGATAAGAAAGTGACGTTGAAAGACAGAATGCAGGGACACTGCAACACGCGCTGCTTCTCTTTTATAAAACGTTTCGAAGTTAATGGCTGGAGTTATTGATCGTATATCGATTTACCGGAATCTCAACTATTTATAACGCTCTCTGCGTTGTCGGGCGTCATTATACATGATCTTCTAACAATATCGCGATTTCCTTGTTTTCTCTTTTATCCGTGAATGGAAATGTTCGTAACGTGGGAATCGTCAAAGGCTTCTTTAATTAATGATCCATGCGTATTTCTCTTTCTAACTTTTGGTCTTCTTCCCTTGTCTTTAATTATGACTGACAAAAATATCTCAATGATATTTCTTTATAAATATTTCCCTTGGTAATTTATAGACGACGATATAGAAAAAAAGTATGTGAATATTTATAATAGTTCCATAATTAAATTATTATGATCAATGATACACAAATTAATTTGTGCACGTACATTGCCTTAACAAAGACGTTCTTACATGAATAGGAAATTACTGTTACAACAGCGAAGTCTTGTAAAGGGTGATTAACTTAAGTAATTTAAGAAGTATTTTTAAACGGAGTGCTTAATACAGAGTAATTAGTGCTACTGTAACTTGATTACAGAGAGAGTGCCTCTTACGTTCCAATGCGCAATGGGTCGCAGTCAAAGGGTTAAATTCCTTCACGCAGAACCTTGTTACCGAAACTTCGCTAAAAAAATTTGTTAAATAACTTCTCCTTCCTCCGAGCGAATCGATGAAAGATAGAACGAAAAGTAAACTCATTTAACTTTAAACGTTTCAACTGTTTTTATAATTCTTCTCAAACATTTAATTATTATTTAGAATCTAATTGTTGATAATTACTGCTTTTCACTAGATAAGATACTACGTAGTAAAAATATATTAAGATGCGAGATGGAAATGATAATTTTAATAGAAAAATTGCGGGGTAGTAAGATATAATTCTATAGAGATTGCAGAGATACTACACATATGTAGAGACACTACACATATGTGGAGATACTATACTGATACAACACATACACTGGAGTACATGCTTAGTGTGTTTCAAATCGTATTGTACGTATGTTACATACTGCTATGTTACAATTAAGTATGTTTTAATTTATTGTTACACAAGTTTCTTTACTTAAAAGTTTAGTATGACCAACTGCTATATTGCCACGCGTTATATAATCAAACGCACCGTCATGTACGCTGCATGCGTGTATTTCTCACGCGTTGTTTTCTCATACCCTGCATTTCTCATACGTTGTACAGCCAAGTGTTATGTTACCACGCGTTGTATAATCAACTGTTGTATCCCCACGCGTTATATGACAAAATGTTACATTTTCCACGCGGTGTATTTCTTACGTTGTATGTCACATATGTTATATGATAAAGTGACATATTACCACACGTATAATCAAGTACTTTATTTTCCACGTTGCATAATCAAATGTTATATTTTCCGTTGTATGACAAAGTATATTTTCCACGCGTTGTCATACCTTGTACGACAAAGTATTATATTTTTCGTTGTAGGACAAATCATATTTTGATTGTTGTATCAAAGTATATTAACGCGTTGTACAACAAAGTATATTTTCCACACGATAAAATGATACACGCATTTCACACGCGTTGTATTTCTCACGCGTAATATTTCCCACACGTTGTAGAAGCTTTATAGCAAGTGTTGTATCACAAGGTATTATATTTCAACGCATTAAACCCCCACGCGTTAGATCGTCACGCATCGGGCGATACATGAAGAGTCTACTGTATAAGCTATATAAAGCTAATGATAGAGTGTAAGATTGTGGATAACGAATAAAGGTGAATAAATTAACACCTTCCGTTGCATAATTGAATGTCGAGTACGTGAAGATAACATATTTTCCGCATTTCTGTGCAGTGAAGGATGGAGGCCAGCGAGTGGGATCACGCGACCTTGAGGGAAGAGGAATTCGAGCAGCATGCCGTGTATTTGGTACCGGATGTGGCGGCGTCTCCGACCAATACCGATCGTGCGGAGGCTTCCCTGCCCAGAAATTTGGTCCTCAAACCTTCTCAGGCCCTCAACGATGTACGTTCTTCAGCCAAAGAATTGTTTCTTGAGACTTCCTTGGTGAGAGCCGCGATCACGATCACGATTTTCATCCAAGTTACGTCCGGACCCTCCTAACCCTTCCGAAACAATTTCTTCGCAAAGAACCTATACTCAAAATTCCATACCTTTGTTCTTTTTTTGAAATCATGAAAATACAGTATTATACTATTGAAGTAGAGAAGTATTATACTATTGAGTATTGCAATGTTGCCCTTGAAGAGATCACAGAGTGAAATTCGCGGTAATCTCGAACACACACGATTCGGTGAAAGATACTAGATCAAACTTGACCGAGCTACGAAGCTAATTAACTTACCGAGTATGACCTAGAGTCGAAGCGAATCGTTACACTTTCCTCGACGACAAGAATCGAGACCAATAGCCTCGGTCGTTGCACGACCGTGCAAACTGTTCTTTTGCTCGTGTCAAGTTCGAACTACGCAAAACATCGAATCGATCGATCGGAAAAAGGAAAAAGACGGACGGATTGGAAGAGCGGTTCGATTTTGATTGCAACGTAAACTAAGTTTTCTCTTCGACGTCTTCGAGCTATCTTCAAATACCTTGTTGATATTACCTAATACTCGATATTATCTAATTTCCTTCTGTATAATTCCTGGTAAATATTATCAAATCCTCTGAGCGTCCTTCAATATCATCAAATCCTGAATGTCCTCTTAATGTACAAAAGGGTGCTTTCAATGTGATTGAAAATAATTGAATAATCGAATGATCGTCTTTACGATAAACATCGTATCTAATTCAACGTTTTTCTTCAACGAAAATAGAATACCGGAATAGTTCGAAAATACACCGCGGATAAAATCGTTTATTCGAAGCGAAACATTCTGGTTTCGTCGATTACGTCAAGGACCCGAGTATCAAATTTTGAACGTATTCAAATAACCGCGATACCAAAAAAGTGCAGTATATCTCTAATTAAAATGTTGATCTCGTACGTGTGCACAGGTTATGGGAGTATGGAGTACGAGTTACATTCCCAAGGGAACACGATTTGGTCCTCTGGTGGGTCAAGTGTACACCAAGGACTCGGTACCGGCCGATGCGAACCGAAAATACTTCTGGAGGGTAAGATATTTTTGAATATCGTTAATCTTATCGATGATAGAAAATGAAGATATACAGGGTGACGTATGGACAATACTTGTATAGAGTTGTAGGGATAAAGATATATAAGGATGTAGGGATATAAAGATACAAGTTAATAGAGATATAAAGATACACGAATGTAACAAGAATATAAGAATGTAAGAATATGGGAATACAGGGATATAAAGATATAAGAATATCGGAACCTAAAAACATAGGATTCTGATATAATTACCAATAGTCCAACATCTCAATCGTATAACAGAAACTTGCACGATAGTTAGGTTTAAATCATGTATTAAAGGAAAACTATGAATAGATGAATGGCTATACAAAGTTTTATTAATATTATTTATGTGTGCTGAATCCATTATCGAAGTTATGCCCACATGTTATGGTACGTGCTGTATACACAGTCGGAGGTTAGAAACTGGTTTTAGCCGATCTAGCAAGCCTTAAAGCGAAATCCGCGAAGCCATTGATGCCTCGTAACGAATTGATGAGTTACGATAGAGAGAACTCGGGTTCTCTCTTCGAATCATCCTATTAAATCGTCGATTATTTCCTAGTCGATCGATGCCCGGAATAATATCGAAGATTTAGCACCGCGTGTACCGTATATCCCTGTTCGAACGTCTTCGAATTCGATCTTAGATCGTTTAGATTCGCTCTGCGTAGGATACATTGTTACAACTAAAAATCCGCACGTTTTCTCGAATAGGTATATAAGAACAACGAGCTGTTCTATTACATCGACGGTTACGACGTACAGAAATCGAATTGGATGCGTTATGTAAACCCGGCTTACTCGTCCGAATCGCAGAACCTGATAGCATGCCAGTATAAAGTGAGTGAAAAATCGTATGTCCCTTTTATCTAACTGTTTGATCAGGATCCTCATCTCGATCTCTTTCGCTTTCAGATGAACATTTATTTTTACACGATCAAGACGATATTACCGAACCAAGAGCTGTTGGTATGGTATTGCAGAGAATTCGCGGAGAGGCTCAATTACCCGTTAACCGGCGAACTGATGCTACAAAGAATACGTAAGTATGCGCCATTTTAGTTACGGATATTCCAAAATAGATTTTACGCTTCTTGCGTAACTTTTGTTCAAATCGTTACAATTTGTACACATGTTTATGTTTGAAACATACACTTACTCATATGTGAAAGAATGTGCATTTATTTATGTTTTAAAGACGTGCTTAAATGTTACATAAATCAGTTCTAGAATTCCACTTAAAAGAATTTCAGTATCACGTACAAGAAGTTAACAGTTCATAAGATGTTTCAAATTTTTGCAAGAAATATCTTTCAATTTAAAATATTTTCTGAATGTAAGATACTTTAATACCCAAGAACAAAATAAACGTCCACATATAAATATGTCCACATGTAAATATGCTCAAAGGGTTCAATTTGTTTTCAGGACAACAAGTGCAACAATCCGCGTTGCCAAGTGAAATCCCAGCGACGGTAGAAGCAGTATCGCCTCTGAAGGACTCGTCGATCTACGAAAGACGGTCACAGATGACCCCGACCGACGGTTCCGTCCGATCGGACGAAGGCTATCACTCGAACGGCTATCACGACGAGATCCTGACGCCCCCGGAAGAGAGCAGCGAGTCGGACTCGGAGAACAACTACGTGTTGGACTTCAGCAAGAACGCGAAGGCGTCCGTGTGCAGCAACGAGGTGGTGAAGCAGGACAACGCAGCGGCGAAGAACGAGTACAGAAAGGTGAAGATCAAGATCACGAAGACCTACGGGAACTTCCAGACGTCGAAGGGTCTGGACGGGAGCGGGAAAGACAAGGATCAGGAGCTGGCGAGCCGAGCGGTGACCCCGGAACTGCCTAAGCCGGTGTCTCCCATCATTCTGCAGAAGAACTCTGTTCTGTCTACTGTGAACGAGGAAGAAATAGTGGAGAAAAACCCTAAACCGTTCTACGAGTCCGAGGTCAAGGCTAATTTGCCCAGACCAGCCTATCTGACCAGCCCCAGCAACTCCATCCTCGAGAACATTCTCCTCCGCAGCAGCACCGACAACAACAACAATAACAGCCACAATCATCATCACAATGGGACCCAACAGCATCATCAACACCATCAGATCCATCACCAAACGAACGTGGACTCCGTGACACCCCCGCCATCCAGCCCAACGGAGATGGCCTATTCGTACAAGAAGTCCCATCGTTACGGCAACATCCTGCCCTGCAGCCCCGATTCCAGCTCGAATCTGCCCATGCAGGCGGACACCTGCGTCAATTCCACGAGCGGGAACAGTGCCCTGCCGATGCAAAGCCCGACGAGCAATTTGCATTCGAGCACGGGGAACCTCCACTCTAGTACGGGCAATCTTCATTCCAGCACCGGTCCCAACAACCTTCTGCAATCTCATCCGGGGACCATCCATTCGTCCAGCAACGCGAGCAATCATCATTCCAGCGCGAACGTTCTATCGTCCAGCACGATATTAACGTCCACGAGCAACCTCCACTCGTCGACCACGTCCACCAGCAGCTGTCCGCCGAAGAGGAAGACCAAAAGCCCATCGCCCTCCGCCAATCCCACGGGAGCGTCCACTCCGACGATTCTGTACTCCGGTTCGGCCGCGTGTCAGATAGAATCGAGCACGGTGTATCCGAACTCCGGTGCGAGCAGCAATCAGAGCGTGTCACCGATTTCGCCGATTCAATCGCCTTCGTCTTACCCGTACGGGATTTATCATCAGAACGGATCGTTGCACCACAATGTGGCGCCGTTGTCCATCAACTGCACCGCCTATTCGCCGACTCCTAGCGGAAACGTGGTCTACGAGAGGACGGACGGAAGAAGGCTGGAGGCTGCCACCAGCAGTCATCAACTACCCACATCGTCCACGATGCAGATCGACACCAATCAGTCGTTGATCGCTGGCACGCACAACCTCCACCTGGGTCATCATCCGGGTTTGACCATACATGCCAACTCCTCCTCGCTGAATCGATATTCGCCCGCCAGCTCCTTGTCCCCGGACGATCACGGCTGCTCCCAAAGTGGATCCCTCAGTCCAAACTCCCAAGGATCGAGGGGATACAGGTCGTTACCCTACCCGTTGAAGAAGAAAGACGGGAAAATGCATTACGAGTGCAACGTATGCTGCAAAACGTTTGGCCAGCTGTCGAACCTCAAGGTACACCTAAGGACTCATTCCGGTGAGAGACCGTTCAAGTGTAACGTTTGCACCAAGAGCTTCACTCAGCTGGCACACCTGCAGAAGCATCACCTCGTGCACACTGGTGAGTAAATTGGGTCAATTTGTTACCCAGTTTGTAAAAACCTTGCGAATTAGGGACAGGGCGCGATTAGTGCAAACGATATAGTATGGCCGTAAATTAAAGTGTCAAATGATGTCATCTCTGATGCACGCATGTCTACGTTCACCTTACACTTTCAAACTTGATTGTGTAATATTATACTCTGACGACTTTTTAGAAGAGTAGATGTGTGTTTAATGAATTAGATTAGGTTTTTTTAGACTCTCTGTAGACTCTATAGTTAAAGACGCCTCAAGTCTCTAGAACATACGCTCTCGTAAGTTTCAGCTTAGATCTCCTTAAGATCTAAATTCTTCCTAGGCCCATAATCTTTCAGGATCATACGTTTCCTTAAAACCGAATGTCTTTAGACCTTTATCTCTACCACATACTTTCAATATTTCAGTTTCATATAATACTATATTTTATTGGTTTCACGACCACGCTAGATCACCTATCCTTAAAAATCACCAAAAAAATTTTTAAATTCCTTTCTATCGATAGACAAGAGATCCCTAATTTTATCGAGAAAAACAATGATCCGCAGGCGAAAAACCACATCAATGCGAGATCTGTAAGAAGAGGTTCAGCTCGACGTCGAACTTGAAAACCCATCTCCGATTGCACTCCGGTCAAAAGCCGTACGCCTGTGATCTTTGTCCCGCAAAGTTCACACAATTCGTTCATCTGAAGTTGCACAAAAGACTGCACACGAACGAAAGGCCGTACACCTGTCAGGGCTGCGACAAGAAGTACATCAGCGCGAGTGGCCTTAGAACTCATTGGAAGACGACCAGTTGCAGACCAAATAACATCGAAGATGAGCTGGCCCTTGCAGCGGCCGTGGGTTCGCCGACGTACTACGAATATGGTGGCCCCGACATGAATGTTGGTAAGAAATAATTCTTTAGTAATAACATTTCAATTGCATTTTTATTTTAACTTGACAATGTCTATATGTAACGTTGTAATTGGAATGTTGAATATTTTTATCTTATTTAATTTTAATGGGATTATCTAGGGAATAGAAACTAGACAAATGAATGTACTGTCTAATAGTAAATACGCAAGTTTTCAAATTTCAAGATGTATGTAGTCTCATCCCTTAGTTTAGACCCTCAGTGTAAATTGAAAGTACAAATTTCCAAGCTACTTTTCAAATCTTCAGATGTTCAAAACTGTAGATATCTGAATGTACATTGCTAGAGCTAAATTGACATAGCCCTAAATTGTCAGAAGTCCAACTTCTCAAACTTATAAAAAAAAATTATCAAACTTTCAACTTCACACATCCTCAAGGAATTCTAAGGATCTAAAATCTTAAATCTAGAAAACCTAAAAATCCTGAATGTTCAAATTCCCAAATTTCCAAATCTCCAGCTCCCCAGAGTGGTCTCCTGATCTCCAGAACCACAGATTTGAAAATTTCCGCTTTCCAAATCTCCAACACCCCAGAGAGCTGTCTCCAGATCTCCAAAACCATACATCTGAAAATTTCCACTGTCCAAATCTCCAACTCCCCAAAGAGCTATGTCTCCTAATCTCCAAAACCACAGATCTGAAAATTTCCAAATCTCCAACTCCCCAGAGAGCTATGTCTCCTGATCTCCAAAACCACAGACCTGAAAATCCCCAAATCTAAATTTGAAATGGGAAAAATTTGAAATAGCTCGAGTTACTTGAATAAACCTGTACATAAGGCGCGTCGAGTAATCGATCGTCGCGAAGACGGAGAAAGTCTAAGCTTAAAGGAGATCGTTCTTTCGTATTTTTCTAGGGAATATGCCGAAAGAGTGCGAGCTGGAGCACATCGAGAACTACGAAAGGCACGGATCGGCACACGGTCCGCACTCCACGTCCCTCCACAATCTGGAGAACTCTGTGGGACGGCCAAGCGTCATAGAGACCTCCCAGCCTCACATAATCGAGTGCACCTAAGAACGGGGGTATGAGCCCTTTTGCTCAAGCGCAAAATCCAGCCGTGGAATAGTAAACGAGTTGCTCGCGACACACGAGAAACCGACCTGGTGTTTTTAATCCTCGCGAACGTGGCGACCGGTAATAACGCGCTTCCGTTCACGGTAACCGAGGGAATCATTTCGACAAAAACCTATTTTTCGTTTCATTCGTCGCAAGCAGCGTGTATAAAATGATAATTGTATAAAGTAAGGGAAACGCGATGATCGCGATCGTACGATCGCGTAAACGTGAGTGAGATTTACGTGCAACAAGTAAATTCGGAGGTTGTTGATAAATGATATTGTTGCTTGGTTATTGTTATACGCGAAGGAATTCAAGCTTTTTTAATGGACAAACTTGGGAAGCTGGCTGATTTTTTTAATTGATCGTTACACGTCGATCGTGAACGCGAACAAGTTCGATTTCTCTTACGAGGTTGGACGAATCGACGAGGTTCCAGCTAAGAGGCAGAAAACGGAGAGAAAGAGAGAAAAAAGTTCCTTCCTTGTAAATACTCGTTTCTATATTTTTTCTAATAGTAGCGCCACCAACGAACACGAATCTAAAAAACGAGAGAAACGTTGAAGAGTTAAACGAACGGAAAAGGGACGAAACGAAATAGGATTAGTGTGTCTCGAGTCGTCACACGCTGTCATTTTCGGATCGAGTCGAGAGAAAACGAGCAACCGAAAAGTCGTTCGAGCTTCTCGATTATCCTTCCACGGTTCATCCTGGAACGATGCTTAGAAAAATGGTACCGTGCACGAACGCGTCGCTTTTCATCACAAATTAATACTTCCATTAAATACTTCCAAACTTCGATCCTTTCATAACTTGATACTCTAAAAAATGGCAACCTGTCATTTCACACTATAGCAATACTTAATTTTAAATATTTGAAAAGAGTAAAGGGAGTATGGAGCACTGGTGCAAAATATAAACGTGGCAATATAACGAGACTATTTCAAATTTCCACCGCGAAATTATCCATTGAATGGTTAAAATAATGTCTAGGGAATTCGAATTCTGATCGAGCATCGAATTCGAATTTCGGATACTTGAGAAGTAAAAACAAATATCGGAAGCTGTTCCGATGATAATGAACAGACACGTTTGCTTCTTCCCCGCGCATGACGGTACCATTTTCTACGCGTTCGAGCCTGGGAAGTTAAAAGTGAATAAATAAAGAAAAAATATATAGCAAGGCGGACTCTGTCGGCACCCGCCAGCAAATTCGAGAATGCGCGCGCGAAGAACAAATACGAGAAAGACGCGACGATCGAACGAACAACCAGTGACGACACGACTGCAACTATACGAGACCTGTACCTGTATATACTAACATTACTATTAATTATTCGATAATTTAAAAGGTATATATATATATAATATATATATAAGGAGCTCTAATTTATGAATATCTTTATATATGTATATGTATAAAAACAAGAAAAAAAGAACAAAAAAAAGAAGAAGAAGAATTAAATCGTCGTCGATTGGCGAGAAAAACGGTAGGCTGCGCTCTACACGGTAATATTTTTTTTTTGTTTTTTAATAGAACACGAGACTTCTTCGAGAGTCGAGTGATTTATTATACGCGTACTATAATAATGTTACGAACAAGAAGAGAAAAAGAATTTTCGGTGATCGAGTATCTATATTTATATTTATACACGTTCGTATACACACATATGGTGGGCGTGAAAAGTATTCGTGCAACGATCGATCTTCGTAGAATCATAATTTGTTACTTTTTGTAGAACTTGTGTCTTTGGAAATTTTTACAGTGACCGTGTGGAAAATCTAATTTTGTGAAATTAGTGGAAATTTGAAAATTGATAAAAAATCTATATAATTGCTTAATGATAAATTTTTAAGTTAAACAGGTGACTAGAATATTTTTAAAACTTTTGGATTTCTTTTATGGGTTTCCATGAATTTTCGTTTAAAGCTATAGAAATTTCCAAAAATACGAATTCGATAAAATGAGAGTAATCGATTACTGTGCGAACACTTTCTGCCCCCGCCGTATATAGATATAAGATAATATACATATATATATTTTTTAGGCATCCTTTTGCCGTGGAATTTTCGAAATGGAAAAGCATAGTCTGTCGATCCACGCGAACGAATCGTTTTAATTTTCCATTTTCTCTTTTCTCCACCGTTCTGGAGCGACCCCCTCCCCTTTCTCGGCGCTATTCTTCTCGTTTCTATCGATCGTTTCGAACTTACGGTTTCTTTTCTCCGGTTGCAGACGTTTACAACCGTCGTTGCAGCGAGAAGCGTCGAAGAAACAAGTCTTATCGCGATCGCGCACAAAAAAAGACTCACCGTGACGTTAAATGATAACGTGCAATCGTTTAATTATCGTTTCGTGTCATCGATGGCAATAACGATCGATGGTGAAACGTGGCGCGACGGAAACGCACTATTTTTGTAAGAATTCGCTTTGTACGATCGAGACCGATGACGCATCGTCTGCGTCTCGCTATTCATTGTCCGTATTATCTGTATGATAAAAAACATGACGTGTCACGTACGTCATATGGTATGACAGCATGAAGTAACTTCAGCACGTATCACTTACATAAACAGATGAAGTATCTTGTACGTCTTCTGTTATCTGTATGAAGAAATTACCTAATACGTCATGAGACGACGCACCTTATGCGTCATATGCTCATTACTTGAAAGAGTACATGACGCACCTTATGCGTCGTACGTTACTTAAAGGGGAAAATGTATAGGACACACCTTATGCGTCATATGCTATTCATACGAAAGAGTACATGACGCACCGTATGCGTCATATGCTATTCATAAGGAAAAGTACACGACGCACCTTATGTGTCATATGCTATTCATACGAAAGAGTACATGACGCACCTTATGCGTCATATGCCATTCATACGAAAGAGTACATGACGCACCTTATGTGTTACATGCTATTCATATAAAAAAGTACATGACGCACCTCATGCGTCATATGTTACTTAAAAGGGAAAATGTACAAGGCGCACCATATGCGTCATATGCTATTTATACGAAAGAGTACATGACGCACCTTATGTGTTACATGCTATTCATATGAAAGAGTACATGACGCACCTCATGCGTCATATGTTACTTAAAGGGGAAAATATACAGGACGCACCTTATGCATCATATGCTATTCATACGAGAGTACATGACGCACCACGTGTGTCCCATAAAGAATTTAATCAGTACTCGAAGAAATATTAAATTATAGAAACCGTTCACTTTGAGGTGAATGAATTTTTTTGAAATAATTAATTTTGAAGACCAAGGTTTTCAATGAAAGAGAGAATTGTTACGATAGGAATATCGGTCTCGAACGAATGGAGCGTCGATTCTCAACGTCCCGTGTATAAATTAAAAAGGTGAAGGCTCAGGCGTGATTTTCATTGGGAACAAATCAAAAAGCGCACACTAACAACGGGAACATCGGGTAAAGAATTCGATCAGAACGCGGGAGAACAAGGGAGATAAATCTAGTCAAAAGGATACTAATTACAATATCCACCCGAGCCTTCGATTTGCGCCTCGTTTCAACGCGATCGTTATCGTACCCTTATATTAAGTTTATGGAACAGGTCGTTTTCTTATCGAGCTGATTTAACGATCATTCGTGAAATTTTTCAACGACGCCTGTCCTTTGTTCATCGAATGCGGGGAAAGAAAATACTGATCACCAATCGATGATGGTTAAAATCACTGTCATCATAGATTAAGAAATTGAACAAAAAATTCGAACGTACTAATCGGAGCTGTGACAATGGGGACACCATTGACTCGATTTCGTTTCTTTATTCCGTAATCTCTTCCATCGATCAAAATTTTGTTCACTAGGTACTTCCATTAAGTTTTAAGTATCGACGAGTTGTCACAATGAGAAAGCGCAGCCTACCATTAAAATGCGAAACGACAAGATCGTGAGTCGATCAGCGATTCGCAGTGTTTTCACATGAAACTTGATGCGTTTGTTACTCTATGAGTTTCTTTCTTTCTTTAACGGGACAAGTAACCCAGTATTCACAGCGTAGTCTCGCTATATGGCCCTAGGTGGACCACAAAAGAATTGTGCAAAAGATGTACCTCGAAGTCGAGAAAATTGATCAATTTCAAAATTCGTACGATGAAAATTTAATATTACAATTTCTAACTTTGCAAATTTAGCAATACTGAATTTCTAGGAAAATAAAAATTAAGTTCTTGCATTATTAACTGAATGCTGCACACTGAATTATGATCTGAAATCTAGTGTCCCGCAACGAACGCGTTAAGTAGCGTGTCAAGACTGCGATCGCTAATCGATAATGATGATAGCACATTGCTAAGTATCGCAGACTGATATACGCACGGTTAGCATAAAAACAGAGAACAAAACGGAAACAACAAAAGAAAATTACGTGCATCGCGATACGATTCCAAGAGCGAACAGGATCCGGATAAACGGGAATACGAGAAGAAACAAAAAAGGTCGGAAAGCACAGAGCACGTTCGAGAAACATTAGCATTCCGAACTTCCTCCTTTCACAACGCCTCTTCAATTTCGAACTGAAACAAAATACAGGAAACAGAAATCCAAAGGTTCCATGTCCACCGATCCATCTATCCGTTTTAGCTTTGGAACGTAACAAGTTCGATGGTTCCTGCAAACACGTCATGGTGCTCGTCGTAAAAGATCCTTCAGAGGAACTGATTTTTCTTTATAGTTCTCTTCCGATTTCCTTTCAACCTTTTATCCCCCTCTCAGGGGTCCATTTTTACCTTGAATCGATACTTCGACCGCGTAACTTTAAGGCAGCTTTAAAAGGAAATTAAGTCGAACAAGGTACCGATTCGCAAGGCCTTTTTACTTCTCATTTGTTTGTTTTTTCGCGATAACACGTTGACAGAGGAAACAGGCAACGCGGAGGACTCGGGCATACTACCGAATAATTGGGCCAAAAGATTTTCACGGTTCAAGTATAGGTACGCTATAATAGCGGTTCATTGGTCGATTAGAGATGTGCGCAGGACGCTCAAGACCATGTATCTGACCGTGGGTCAACGTCGTGGAAGGTGTTACCTTTGATTCCCCGACGTTGACTTCCGGTTGCGAACTTAAGCCTGCACGAGTGATTAGGCAGAGAAACGCTATTGGAAACGAGCACTTGATTTTCTATATTTTTATTTGCATTTGGGGCCAAATTAGGTTTGCATACTTTATTTTGGATAACACCTTGGCATTTTGGTGTCCTTGGAATATTTTATCAAGGGTCTTTCTTAATGGACTGGCTTTAATTTCAGAGATATTTGGGAAAATACAAAAACGCACAGGAATGAAATATTTTGTCAAAGCCACATTTTGATTAATTCTGCTTACGTATATAGTCTTCAAGATAGACTTTGGTTAAATTTATGAAACTCGTATACACATTGCATATGTTATTTCATATATGGTTTATTTCTTTTTAATACCCTTGTACAATATATTGAAGTATACTACATTTCAGCATATCACCATTTTGACCATGTCACTCATGGTAAATGTACAAAATATCACATTGAAATATAGCATACTTCAGTGTATCGTATCAAAGATACTTAAAAGAAGAAATCAATGACTATAAAATAACAAAATATGCTAATCAAATTTTTTTGCGAATATGTTTGAAGACCCAAAAGCCTCTCAATATGCACAAAGAATGCTCTTAATAATATATTTCAAGGTCACTGAAATTAGGTGTCTCTACTATGCATAATTACCTTACTTTATGTACAGTTACGAGTAGTTAGAATAAAATGGCGATGAAAAAGGCATCGGAAGACCAAATACTCTGAACATTTTAGTGTAAAAGGTTTTTATATCCACGATTATACCAGGAACCAATTTTCTGATTCCTATGCAAGTTTTCTTTCTTGTCTGGTATACTTCCATATTCAAAACACGTCCACAGCGGAAGAACCCGCATGTCCGTAATCAACTCTCTGGTTTACATTTTTAACGCTTGCTCAGATCCGGGTTACATAATTGTTTATATTTTAGAAACTGAATTATTCCACGCAGGAAAGAAACTGTATATGAATCTAGTAGCTGGTTCTTGAAATAATGATAGTGATTAACCCTTCAAGGGTTACAATTTTATAGTAACATTATTCTAAAGTCTGATAAAAATCAACTGCTAAATATCTAAACAGATAGTATAAACAAGACAACCTTATATTCAAAGAATCACTTTGTCTAATTTCGATCAAACACATCTTCCATCTCAGCTATTTTTTGTTCATACTTTTCTTCAGAAAGAACTAAATCAGACTTAATTTAAATCGAAACATTGTATACTTCACTTATGATTGACCTGGGCAGTGTTTGAGGACCAGTTGTTCTAAAGTTTGGAACGAGAAACCAATCTGTATAAAACTGAACGCTGTTGATCACTTACTGGTCCCTCCGCTTATATATGCGATTTTCATTCTCACGATTGATCGTAAATAGAAAGATGAAAGTTATGAAGATTTGAATCGCGTTAAATTTGAGTTGTGTCGAATTTGGTCGTGGTAACTCTAGATTAAGTCGAATTTGGATCGCATCGAGTTTAGATAATGTCGAATTCAAATCGTATTAAATTTGAATCGAGTCGAAATTAAATTGCGTCGAATTTGGATCGAGTCAAATTTGAATCAAGTCGAATTAAATCGCGTCGAATTTGGATCGAGTCAAATTTGAATCGAGTTGAAATTAAATTGCGTCGAATTTGGATCGAGTCGAAATTAAATTGCGTCGAATTTGGATCGAGTCAAATTTGAATCAAGTCGAATTTGAATCGAGTCAAATTTGAATCGAGTCGAAATTAAATCGCGTCGAATTTGAATCGAGTCGAAATTAAATCGCGTCGAATTTGGATCGAGTCAAATTTGAACGATATTAAATTTATAACCCATCAAATTTAAATCGTACCAAATTTGAATCGCACCAAATTTGAACCTTATTGAACTGCACCATGTCAAATTTGAATCGCACCAAATTTGAACCTTATTGAACTGCACCATGCCAAATTTGAATCTCATCGAATTGACCCATGTCGACTATGAACAGCATCGAACATAATGAAGTTAAAGAACTGCGTCGAACCGTATATCCATTTGTTTCACTTGATGTTTGACTCTGAGAGCCTGTACAGAATATACCTCGTGAACAAAAGCAGTTTCACATAGAACAAGGAACCAGTGTATTTTCTTACAAGTTTCAAGCCGAAGATAAAAGAAGCATAGGTAATGGAGGTTTCCAATGGCGTTTCGTCGATTATTATTCCGTGTATTGCCTCGATTTCCTGCGTTGCCTGCATTAAACGCACTATTATACATAACGGAGTGAACAAGGGAAAAAGATAAAACGAAAGAGTGAGAGTGAACGAGTGAATGAGCGAATGAGCGTGACGAACCTAGTATTGTAAGATTTAAATTGTGAAAAACATAAAAAAAATGAGAGAAAGAGAGAAAGAGAAGATGAAGAGGGACGAGAAACGGTATGGAGAAACTAAAGAGAAGATCGTGTAAATACGCTAAGAAAGTAGAATGATCGAAGGAAACAAGCGACTTAACCGCCTCGACAACACAAGACAAGCAATATTTAGTTCTTACCGTCTCGTAAAAATAATGAAAGAATAAAAAAATGAAACGATAACTCCAACTGTACTTGTACACAACAGACACGTGTACACGGCTCGTACGTATTTAAACGACTATAAATTAAATGTTAATTATCCTTACACTTCGTATAATATAGTAAAATTGTTACGCATTTATTATCATTACAATTATTGAATAGGTAATGCTCAATTAGCATTTGTTTCTTAAAATAAAGAATAAATATATGGCTGTTGGATATTTATATGCACGTATCATCTACCTATGTCATTTGCATCTCCCTTTTCTTATTTTTCTTTAGGTCACTTCCATGAAGCTGGTATATTTCTCTAAACTATTTTACAAGAGAATCTGAAAAATAATTTTAATACCTTTTCGTTTTTTCCTCAAACGTAAAAGCAAGTTATGGACAATTTTACCAATAATATAACGAGAATATTTCGACATTTTCTTCGTACATATCGTTTAATAAACAGTTTTATCGTCATTTAACAGCGATAGTGCTCGTCCGTTTCATTCGCGAACATGTACTATCAACCCTTCAATAACGGAACTAGAACATGACGCAGCAAATGGATTTTCGTAAAAAATAACAGTTTAAAAGGTGAAAAAAAGAAGATTGAAGGATTAAATTCGCAGTATTTGTCCAATTTGCTTAAACGACGATCAAAAATAAGAAAAGAGGTTCCTTCAAACAGGAAGGAAGTCCAAGGATATGTTTCAACTCATAAGGCGAGGTATATCGTTTTCAACCTTTTATTGTAAATTGATCTACAATCACCATATCCTGGTTCATCGTCGTTACATCTTCGTCGTTATAAATAGGAAATCGTTACAACAGCACTATTGCTCGATCATCATAGTGTGTGTGTATGTACGTATGTGTCCGTGTGTATGTGTACATGTTTGCAATATAACTCTGTTTCATTTCTCGCAAGTATCAAGTTATTCGTAAAAGTTCATCACTTCAACGTCTCTTACTGTACAATCCTATTTGAAGTGGCTTCGTAAAAACAACAAAAAAAAGACGTATCACACGACGTTCGTGGATGTATTTTTTTTGCCTTTTCTTTTTTTGTGGAAAACGGAACAAAAATATGGGGACCAGGGAAGTAAGCTACCTAACTTACGAGTAACACTTTGTTTTTGTTTTGCACTTGCCTCGTCATTCCTCCGGCTTAGAAGAATGCATAAAATGTTTTTTTTGTCTCGCGTACACGTCGAAGATAATATACATTCCTATATTAATTAGAAAAATAATACAGATTTTTGCCTTGTTAATGGAAACAATTAGCTATACATATATATATTTATAATGTATACCACATAGTTTAATGCGGGTATGGACATTTGAGTATGTTGTCACAGCTAACCAAGTCCCTGAAAACAATTTTAAGAAAAGTCTTTCATCTCCTAGAAAAATTACACGTTTCTAATTGTTATCTAGCACAGTATTGTTTGAGAGTTTGCTTCGTAATCACGATCAACGCAAACGCAAATTATAGGGCGGCAGTTTGTATATCTTGTATTAAAAATATTCTACCACGACAACGCACCATTTAAAAGAAAAGAATAAAATCACAGTTCCAAAATTTCTCACTCATCAAACTAACTTCGGACATCTGTATGAAAATATAGGAACGAGGTAGCGAAAATAATTCAATCTCTTATACGCACTCTTATTCTTGGAAAATAATAAATTGTTAACTAAAATGAAGCGCAAAAACATGGAATTCATTGTAACGTCTGGCTCTTATTGGAAATGAAACATTTAAAAAAGCCATAAACGCTAAATCACAAACACAGAAATACCATTCCAAACACTAAATACATAATTAATTACAATATTTTTATAATAGTAAATATGTTGTGTCGACAAAGTAAAATGTAAACTTAGAATAATTATCGTTTGAACATTAATTGACAAAGAATAATGAGGATGTGAAATGTCCTACCTTATCAAGGTACAGGACTGTCTGTTCCACTTCCACTATTGGTCCCAGCTTCTGTTTTCGTTGCGGTCACTCTGTCACCACGCTTGGAACTCTTCGACAAGGATGCAACTTCTTTCAATAAACTGGAGATCTTCAGCTGCATCGTTGAGATTTTCGCTTCGTATTCCTTTTCCGTCGCTTTCATCTTGTTACGCAGTTCCGTCTCCGATGTGAAGTTTTTCGCCTTTAATTCTGTAATCTGTGGGCAGAGACAATTGTACTTGAATTATCTCTATGCTTTAAAATTTAACTGGTGCATCAACAAATACATACCTGCCTATCCTTAGCTAGCAATTGTCCATCCTTGATGGTGATTTGTTTTTGGAGATGAGCTATCTTTTCTTTGAGTTGTGTAACTGCTACTACGTGATCCGAACTGTTAGGATCATGTGGATCATGAACACCAACCATCCGAGCTGCTTTCACCGGGGTAGGACCATTCGAATCTCCGCTTTCAGACTGAGGTGGCAGCTTTGTAACATCTACTCTGTGTGGTCTCTTATTATGACCTTTCAACCTGAAGCAAAACAAATAGAATAAGTATAAATATTCTTTTAGATATTTACCTGTAAAACATTACCATGTTATGATATATGGAAGAGTTACTGAAACTGTGATGAACACGATTAAAACTACTAAGCACAAAGTTACCTTGTGAGAGTATGTATTTGGAATAATTACTTTTGTTCTTTGTGCTTCGCTGCCCGTTGCTGTGCCAGTTTCAAATGTGCCCTTCTCTCTGCATCTGACTGTTTTGTTTTTGCCAATGCTCGTTTGTATGACAGTGTACACAGCCAACATAATAACTTTCCATCAACCTTTAATTATTCAATAACAGTGTATTATCTTAAAGTACTTATAAAGAAGCAATTGTAATATATAAATAAAGTTAAAAATATATTGTTACTTTTTTGTCTTCATCCTGTCTGTCAAAGGCACACTTCTGTTTGCATTGCTCACAAGTTACCGGCGGCCCATAACGTTTTTCAGAATTCGTACATCGTTGACATTTGCTGCCAATGAATGCAGCTATGGTATTGCAATATTCACAGGCCGATGGCTTACCATAAGCTTTCACATTTTGCTCACATTTTTTACATATGGTGCTTGTATTTCCTTTTCTGTAAAAGAGAACAGAATTATTTTATATAACATGTCCAAACTATATCAAATATGAAGAAATATATATGCTTACATCGTTTGTTGGAATTCTGACCTACAATATGTACATTTCACTACAGGAAATGCACCTCTGCATTCCTAAATGAGCAACATAACGTAGTAAAAGTTGATTAAAAAACACATACAAGGATACAAATTTATAATGTACATATTTACATTTAGCCAGTTTTAATGTTTATGCACTATTCATGCTTTCGCACAAAACACACAATACTGTAAGAAAAAAGTGTTTATTACCATTAAAAGAAAGGCTTTCTCGAAATTGATAATAATTTATTCAATTGGTAGGAACTGGTTGAAACAACAATTTATCTATTGTACTAAATACAATCATTTAAATTAATTTCTCCAGACTTTTGCAACATGAACGTACAAGAAACGCACATTTGAATTAAAAGTTCTATTATTAGCATCCTATCTCGCGAACACGGAAAGTGACGCTCGTTTGTCGCGCGTAGAAATTCGGGAAAGACACGAAATCCCGTGACGATACCTTGCACAATTGTTGTCCCGGGGAAAGTTCCTCGAAAGGATGCCTCGAAAAGCATCTGGAACACGCGAAAAGAGCTTGCACATTGTTCGCGCTCATCCTCGAACAGCGGATTCGTGTTTGGCCTCGGTGTTCCAAAACCGTACGTCACCAACGATAAAACCAATTCGTAAACGCGACGACGTACGGGCTAAGTTTCACTTTCACTGTTTTCCTAATGGTATCCCCGAACAAAAAAAAACGTAAAATTCAACACGATGTCACTTAAGATTACAAATCCTTACATGTTTTTTCCTACGACATTTCACGCGACTGACGCGATTGTTTTGCGTACATAACCGCGTCACTTTACCCGTTCACTGCACCGGTTGTTGATTTGAGACGGCCATCTGACTTCTTACTGCGTTTTTACCAGTTCACAGTCCCTGTTAGATGTCGCTTCATTATGCACCCCCTTACAAAATACCATGTAAACCAATCATTATTTTTCTAACCAAAAGATTCGACTAACAATTGGTTAAATCGCTTTTAACGTGTTCTTAAAGTCTAGGTTAAAGTGGACGCGTATACTAGCGCCAGGATATTGTAATAGTGGGAAAAACTACTGCTATTTAAATATTAGCTCAACCCTATCAATTGCTCAATTGTATTCATTTATATTTGATAGTGGACACATGAATCTTTATTCTATTACGAAATTGTCCCAAAATTTTTCTACGATTCTCCCAAAGATTAGGATTCCCCCACACTTTCTCAGGATTCTCCTAAGTTTTCCCTAGGATCTTGTGTCTAGCTTTTCAAACACGCTTCAAACATAAATATAACCTAAACTCATAACAACGTGGTGGTTGACACGTATTTGTTTAAAACTTGGAAAGAATTAAGAAATGAGAGTAAGGAGGAAATCAGAAGGGAAACGACGGCAAGAAAAGGAAAGAGCTTTATACGTTCGTCTGCCGCATACAATACGTAAAGAGGAAGATGTCGCGAAATTATTTACAGGCGATTTTAGAGTTAATCTTCCTCGACAAAGTAGCAGGCATTGCTATGTGATATTCTCTGATGTTGAAGAAAAATTGAGAAATTTAAAAGCAGCACAAAACAGTGTGATAAATGGGAAACATGTTATAGTTGCTCCTGCAATTATTAAGGATAAGAAGGATAGAATTAGTAAGAAGAAAATTGTTATACCTGAAATAAAAGATGATCCAAAAGTAACAAGAATGTAAGTATTTTGACAACTTTCATCCTTAATGGAACATTTATTTGAAATAATTACGTTAAACATGCTATTTTTTCGATAGCCTTTTCGTTTCAAACATTAATCTCGAAACAAAACCCGAAGAAATAAAGGCAGCTATTCCAGGATGTCTGACTGTGAAAATATTGAAACCATATTCAAAAAAGTCTAAGTATTTATCATACTGTCATGTAACATTGAGATTTGCTATGAATAAAATTTTAAGGTATATTGTATATTATATTCTATTTAGGGCTGCAATTGTTAAAATGGAAAGTGCACGAACAGCAGCAGAGTATTTGCAGAAGATACGAAGTAGGCCAATTGTTGGAGGACGTAGATTAAGATTAAATCCTGATACTAGACATAGGAAAAAGCAATCAAAAGGACTTAAAATCTATGATGGTGAAACAGAAATACCTATGCAGAAAAGCACTTCAAGGGAAAATAACAAACCTTTAGATCATATCGTACTTGAAAGCAAAACTTCGAGTTGAGTGTTTTATTATGACTTGCAATTACATACGTTAAATTCCATTATTTATATAATATTCAATGTATATAATGACAACCAGATCTTTGTAAATAAAAATAAAGTCATAAGGAGTAAAAATTAGGAAACTGTTTTAACATACATGGAATTTGCAGCAAAGTTCTCAGAAACAAATTACATTAATTTATAATTCGTATTACTAAAAATTTCAATATTAATAACATTTTTGTTCAATAGTAATTTTAATCTCGATATTATCTATTACAAAAAACATTTCATATATTTTAACAGAAATGATTTAAATTTCCATCTCTTGTAATTTCTTTTTTACTTTTTAAATACGTTATTTACGCAACAGTGAAGGTAACCGAGGCTGATAATAAAATGATACAGTAGTTGACAAATGAGTCATTTTATATAATCAAGAGAACTCACGATATACTATAAATAATCGTGCATTTAAACATACACATGGCACTTTCAAGAGATTGTATTGTAACATGCGTGAATGTATGCAAATTCCATATTGAAAAGTATTTATTCGCGGAAAGCGTGCAATAATGATATGCGTGCTTAAAAAAACGATCTCAAAAGTCAACGATCAAGGTGAAATCTTCAGTCCTGCATGTAAAGTGTCAGGATAATACGCGATTTAAAAGCAGTTTAGTGAATCATTTGAACGAGTAATGTAGTGTAATAGTCGTTCTCGTCGAATTACATACATTAAAAAAACAGAAATAAAATCTCTTGACAAAAATAACACATTTTTTACATAGTCCTGTTTACAACGCAGAATGAAATAAGTTTATAAATATTTATGGAATTGTGAAATTGATTGACAGTAAACGAGTGTTATACATAATTATGTAAGTCGAAGAAATGTCAATGAATTCAACTCGTAATTCAATAATATTCTTGCTTTTCTATAACTAGAATAAATGCATTTGAAATAAGCATAATGAAGTCCCTTTCTGCCGAAGTTTATGGGATCCCACTACCGGATGCTCTGACCCTTCACCTGGCACAAATGTACAAGTAGGTCCCCGTTATATTGCCGTCCAATTTCAATTTCAGATTTTGGGATTTAGAAATGTAGAAATTTTGCAATTTCAGAGATTAACAAATATTATGCTTATTTTTAAAAACATTTATTCTCATATCATTTTCCTATTGTTCAATTTTAGTAAAATGTGAATAGTGTTTCATCGCGTATCCTTCGATTGATAACCCATAAGCCTTGCGGTAGACTAATCGTTCGCTTTAAAAAGAGTATTGATTTGCAATAAAAAAAAACCAACGTGCTTTTAATAAATTTAATCGAAGCGGGTAAAACGGCTGAGAAGCTTTATTGGTTGACCACCAGGTAGCAGAATAACCTTGATCAGTATAGTTTTGTTTAGATTTGTAGAAGTATAGTTCATAGTAGCTTCGCACACAATCAAACCGTCTTGGAGAGGTCGGCATGAAGTAACCAATAAGCGATTTGCCAGTCTAATCGTTCGAACGTCATTGCATAACTCGCGTTGCTTTTTAAACCAATTATTTAATGCGCTGCGTGCAATGATTTTGCACTTGGAGGCGTTTTCCGATCGATGTCACGCGTGTGTAGTGACGCCGACCAAAAATGCGAATGGGCGTAATAACGCCGGCAAGTTCTGCGAATTGGACGTACGTCAGAACTAACCTAAGAAAAAGTTGTCTGTGTAGCTTTATCGAAAAGGAAAAAAATAGTTTATCGTAAATAAGCATGATTTGTTATTTATTCGTGTATCACCGAACATTGGCTTCGATATGTTCGACGTTGTCGTTCTTCCGTGCAACGTCCATAATAATTCACGTATAGGTTAACTCCTTCGCGAGCGTCCATCGACGTTTACAATCTGTCATTTGGATCTCGACATTTTGTAAATCGGAATGTAATATACGAATATAAATCTAAATCTAAAGTTTCAGTGGAAGTAGTATGTCTTTTGCCATGTATTTTATAATCATCAAACCTCTAAAAACGTTCCTGTTAATAACTAATATTGAATCTTGCAAATTCGAAGGTAACTAAATTTATAACTTCGTTTATTAATATTTCGCATATAAATATATGACATAAATTTTATCTAAAAGAAAATATTAGTGTTTAGTGAATTTAGTCATGTAATCAAAATAATGTACCAAGTATGTTAACTTCGTTTTTATTATAATTTTATCTTAACAATTGTTCTCTTATTTTGTTTCAGTAAACTTTAGGAATGAAAGCAGTTCCATTTTGGAGTAATTTTTAATTTGTATATTTAAAATCGTACCAATAAGAGATTTAATACAATGCATTTATGATTAAATGCACAAAGTTTACCTGTGAAAAATAATGTCTAACATCGACATACATTCGATCAAAACTTGACTGCATTAAAAATGCAAGCCAAGAAGCGCTATCTATTATTGTTCGTAACCTGTGCGTTTCTTGGTTATTGTTACTTTGGTGGTTATCGATTAAAAAGTGAAAAGTGGTCAGGCAGATCTCAGTTGCCTTATGAGCGATTGCCTTCATATTTAAGTCTAAACGAAGAATTCTATGACAAGGATTTAAGAACATCAAATGGAAATTCACTCGTGTCTCAACGTACAAGGCAATGCCGTATGGAGACTTGTTTCGACTTTACTAGGTGCAAGCATGGTTTTACAGTTTATGTGTATCCAGTGGAGGATGTGATAAGCCCACTATACCAAAAAATATTAAATGTTATTACCGAGTCGAGATATTATACTTCGGATCCAGCTAGAGCATGTATATTTGTGTTAGCTCTTGATACATTGGACAGGGATCCATTGTCAACAGAATTCATACATAATCTTCCTGCAAAGTTGATGCGTTTACCTTACTGGAATAATGGCAGAAATCATTTAATATTTAATTTATATTCTGGAACATGGCCCGATTATGCAGAGGAGTCATTGGCCTTTGACATAGGATATGCCATGCTTGCGAAGGCAAGCATGTCCATCTTCAGGCACAGACCAAACTTTGATGTGTCTATACCATTGTTTGGAAAACAACATCCAGAACGTGGTGGGGAGCCAGGTCAAGCTTTAGAAAATAATTTTCCTAACAGTAAAAAATACGTCGCAGCTTTCAAGGGTAAAAGATACGTCCATGGAATAGGTTCTGAAACTAGAAATGCTCTCTATCATTTACACAATGGCAAAGACTTGGTATTTGTCACGACTTGTCGTCACGGCAAAGCGTGGAGAGAGTTACAAGACGAACATTGTCAACAAGATAATCAGGAGTATGATATGTTAGTAACAAAACGAAATATTTTAAGTGAGGAACGTTTATGATGAAAAGACAAACTCTAATGTTATTTATAATTTCAGGTATGATTATGAAATTTTATTAATGAACGCTACATTTTGTCTTGTACCAAGAGGAAGAAGACTTGGTAGTTTTCGATTCTTAGAAGCTTTAAGGGCTGGTTGTATTCCAGTTATTCTAAGCAATGGCTGGGCACTTCCATTTCATGAGCGTATTGATTGGACACAAGCGGTTATATTTTCTGATGAAAGACTGTTGCTTCAAGTAAGTACAACGAAAATATAGTTTATGATAAGAAAGGTAGACGAACCGGAATGTAATCAAACTTTATCTATTCAGATTCCAGATATAGTACGGTCTGTGTCCAATGTACAAATCCTTAAACTACGGCAGCAAACGCAGTTTCTTTGGGAACGCTACTTTTCGTCGATAGAAAAAATTGTATTTACAGTATTCGAGGTAAGATTATAAAATCGGCAATAATTCTAAATTATCGATTTTCTATATTTAAACTGAATTTACAGAATATTCGCGAACATTTACCATGGGAAGGTACCAGGGAGAAACTTGTCTGGAATATAAACCCTGGAGCTTTAGCAATATTACCGCAATTTGCTGATAGCCAGCAAGAACTTCCATTTTCAAAAAGTAATCCAGGAAATACCTTCACTGCCATCATCTATTCGCAGTTGGGATCCACTGCTGTTCTCTATCGTTTGCTTAAGAGTATCGCGAAAAGTAAATACTTAGATAAGGTAGGCTTACCGCATGAACTACTTTCTAATTTTTATTTTTATCACGAGCGTAAATAATATTCTGAAATGTTTGTAGATTATTCTAATGTGGAACTCGGACATTCCGTTACCAAGGAGGCCACGATGGCAAGGGATCAAAGCATCAATACATGTTGTTACGGTTGATGGTATATCCCAGCGTTTTTATCCACATCCTTTAATCAAAACTAGTGCCATATTATCTCTAGATGAGGATGCTACACTCAATACAGACGAAATAGATTTCGCCTTTACCGTTTGGCGATCGTTTCCGGATCGAATAGTTGGGTATCCAGCTAGATCTCACTATTGGGACGATTCCAAGGTAAGTGGGCTTCTACATGATTCTCATATTTAAACATAGCAGTATTGTTTATATATGTTTATTATTTAAAGCGTTCGTGGGGTTACACAAGTAAATGGACAAATGATTATAGTATAATTCTAACTGGTGCCGCCTTTTATCATCGTTATTATAATACGTTGTATACCGAATTACTGAGTTCGACGTTGCACAAGACTGTCGAACAGTCGCAAAATTGCGAGGACATACTTATGAATTTTTTAGTAAGCCATATTACGCGAAGACCACCTATTAAAGTTACTCAACGGAAATTGTATAAAGATACTACTGTGGCTGGAATCAGGTATGTATCTTTCATTTCGCTTGCTATGCGAGTATCATCTGTTCAACAGGAAATTCGGTTCACTTAATACGGCTAACTTCAGCACTTAAATTTTTTATCTCCTGTATCCTCAGATTTCTCCATATCTAATTTCCAAGTAAATGAAAACAGCAAGAAATGAATAATATATTAAAACGGTTACTGAATATGTATATTTGACATAAGTACACTAATTCACAAAATGAATAAGAGCTGCACTTATCATTGAATGAATAATAGCTATTACTGTGTAGCGGTTTAACATAATCATGAAAGATATTCTTATAGTTTGTTCATCTGACACATTCATTTTTCAGGTCCCCATGGAATGATCCAGATCACTTTATACAACGGCAAACGTGCATGAATACGTTTGTAGCCGTCTTTGGGTACATGCCGTTATTACGATCAAATATGAGGCTTGACCCAGTTCTGTTCAAAGACTCTGTAAGCAATTTGCGCAAGAAATATAGACAAATTGAATTAGTTAGTAATTAGAATTATACAGGATATTTTATCAGTTACACAGCAGTTATCTACCCTCGAAATGGGCATCGTATATGTATGCATAAATATATATATATATATAGCCTCGAATATTTCGGCGAAATAACGGCGGGAATTGCTATTGCGATTGGCGCGCTTGCGCATGCGCACTAGAGGCTATTTGAAAACGTATATATAGGGAACACTTACATCGTTGCGTAAGTAAGTAACGAACCATTGGGATGTCACGTAACCATTGGCGTAATTAGGATTGTTTTGGGGTGGGTTAAACTCCCTAGTCTTACCAATATGAACATTCTACACTATGCATGGCTAAGTGGATTTTAGAAATTTAAAAAATTGAAAATTTAAAAATTTACGAATTTGGAAATTCAAAATTTCGAAAGTTTATAATTTTATAAATTTCTAAATTTTCTGCGTGAGGGCTGGCTCATCCTAATCCCCTAATATCATTATATGTGACCCCAGTGGTTATCAGGGCAGCAAATTAAGAAGGTCTTTCATTCTCGAGGAATGGCGTTACTCTGCGCTTTTGTGTATTCACATAATGAATTTTGTACAAAGTATCAGATATATATACCTTGTAACATTGTTCGAACTCGAATCGGGCCATGGCACGCATTGACGTATTCAATTGATGTACATACGAATCGTTTCATAGTTACTAATAAAACGTAAAAATAAAAAAAAAATGAAAAGATAAGAAGAAAAAACAATTGATAACGAAGAAAAAATATTATTTGGTGAATTCATCGATACTTTATGAACCGGCCTTTCGAAGCTGCGCAAAGTATTCTAATCCATAGTCAATTTGATCGCTCGAAACCAAATTTACCAAACGCTTACATTTTTCTTCTCTATCGTTGAAAACAATGATGATCGTGCAAATGCTATTTTGTATAAGCCAGCCAATGACGTAGCTGTATCCGGATGGCGCCTCGAGAGTAGTAGCCTCAGGGATGAATCTATTTAAATGCAGCTTACGATCGTGGACTATTTGAAAGCTTTTGGAAATAATTTCCTTATTTTTACATCTCGACTTTTCTACCTTCGTGAATAATTGACTAATTTAAATTCGTTAGCGTAAGGCATGACTATATTTCGAGTAAGTTTTTGCGTATGATCAGGTACAGCTGCGGGAAACGATGTCTTATCTCGATGAGGAGAAGCCAACGAGGACCTCCCGCTACTCTCGGATGCTCTTTAAGTGGGAGGTGAAATAGGAGTTTTCTTCTAGATTATCGGTATGGTGGATGGTAAAGCATACTCGTGATAGTACATTGGTGTAGTGGAAGAAGGCTAATGGTAGAGTTACTCTACTAGAATTATTCTACTATGGTGCTATTCCACTCTATCCTAGTACAATGGATTGATAGAACAGAATGGACTAACACCATTACTAGTACCCTGATTAAATTAGACATTGGTAGTACTACCAAAGGTATGGCGGCACTTGAAGTAGTCATTAGTAGAGTAGAGTCCGCTGTACAGCAGTAACTCTACTGCTAGCCTTCTTCCATCATTTTAATGCATGTCTTAAAATTATAAAGCCTAAAATTCCAAATTACTCTTCAGTAATATTTTTGGTAGTATCGTTGGTAAAGTAGAGAGAGGTGCTATCAGAGTAACTTTATTACTAATCTTCGCTCCAGTATACTAGCGCTAATATATTCTGCCGTCTACTGTACCAACAGACTTTGTAACTTCTCCTACCGAGGAAGGGTATCGTTGCCCGCGGCTGTACTCGTGAATTGAAACGGTGTTCGCCTCTGTTCAACAAGAGGAATTTCAATCGTTTTTTAACGTGTATCGCTATACCGTTCGTAGTTTGTCTATGTGTTCGGAGCACAGATTATTCATAACTCGTAATCAGCGTACCTAGAAAGTGTATTTCAAGGATTTTACGTATCGATTACAAATCGTGTACACGCGCGAAATGATAATTGTGTATACCTGTACAGCTCGATCGCTCTCAGGAGAACCTTTGAAAGGAAGTAAGAAATTGCTTGTGACCAATATAAATCGCAAGTATGTCTAGTCGTTTACGTTCGTTTACATTGATACGCCGGATGAAGGAACGGGAAAGTGATTCGCGTAAAGTAGGTGACACTCGATACCGTGTTTGTGTTTTTCAGGATAATAAGCAAATGTACATATATGTATGTATATGTATATGTGATACGTTCATAATAATCATGTGATATATTCATAATTATTGGAGACAGGATTTAACGAACAAAAGGAAAAGAAAAGATACGAATGGACTGTGTAATTCCACCAATGGCATTTCTTTGTCGCGATCAAAGTTAATATATGTTCACCAGAAATATTATATTTTTTATGGTATCGATAGTTTTGAGTATTCGAGGGAGCACCAGTAACGAAGAATCACTTTTTAAATAAATGCTCTCTTTTCGATTGTTATCATGGTTATAGATGGTTGTAATTTTGCTTCTTCTTTACTGCGTGCTCCACCGTTGTTAAATTTAATTAACGTACACGGGACTGTGCAAAATGATAATCGCTTTTGTTACGAACAAACTTTCGCGTCGATCAAACGTTAGCGATCTTTATTTCTAAATGGCGGATATTTGACAAATTAACGTAGTCACTTGATCTTTACTTTATTGGGTAATTAATGGTTTTCTGTAATTAATTCGAAGGTAATCGACGATGTAATCTTGTTGCATCAAACGTGTATCCGAACAAATATTGGTGATTTTATATGGCCGAGAAAAATAAAGTTTTTATACAAACCTACGATTGTTGTCTCGTCGAAACAATTGTATATACTCTATTGTATAAAAAGTGTTTTTGGGGATGACGACTTGGTGCTTTATTCATTTCGATGCTCCCTAGATAAAATTCCTCTTTCCCTACGATTCGAAATTCCTCGAAGAAACGCGGTATCGGTAGACGTGACGGTAGAGGTACTAACCCTTCGACAGTGAAGGGAGGGACGCGTCAAACTTTTCTCTCGGACTGGTCACGTAAGCCGAGAATGGTTTCAGGGTTAGCGATACGAGAAACGTAAAAAATCGGCTGGACGGAAGGCGGATTTGGTCGTAAGCAGCCGATCTCCATGCATCCACCACCATTAGGCAAGCCAGCACCACCACCAGCTTCGCAACGGGTGGTGGTGGGCCACGACGAGATACTACGGCACCAACACTCCCTTCTTTGTTGCTGGTTTGCTAGAAAGGTGACTATGCCAAGAAGACAGGAGGTATTGAGCACGCCTTGCGTCTACCCAGTCACCTTTCTCTCTTCGTGACCGTAGCATATGTTTTGCGACGTCGATGGAGCTCTCGCGGCTTTGAACGGCGCCACATCGAAGCTGCTGCTCCTTCCTGGCTTCTCGTTCGCTCCATCCTTATTTCCACCCCCTTCGCATTTTCCTTCTACCAATTCTTCACGAACGAGACGAAGAAGAAGCCAGCCAGAGAGAGCGTCGAGTGTCGAGTTGTAAAGAAACGCGAAAGATACGAAAAAGGAAATCGGCCGCGGCTCGAGCCGCCACTC